AAGTGCTGCCTTGGTCCTGGTGTCTCTCCATAGCAATAGAACTGTGACTAAGATACCCCCAAACTAATGCTACAATCTCACAGCTCAGTGTTACAGAAAAAGCAATGTGACCGGGCCATCAGATGTGGCATTTCTGTCTTTTCCATTATGGTTTCTTAGCTGAGGGACAGGCTTTGGGGGCTCTGGTAATGATAGGCTATGGCCACTAACCTGCAGGTTCACGGGAAACCTACTCGCTGGTGTGCCATCTGTGTACCAAAGGTCAGGAGAAGGCAAAGTGTTGGGCAAACCTGAGAATGAGTGTGCCCCACCCCCACGCGACCCGAGACAACTAGACCCCGAAGGTGGACAGCACGTGAACCCCAAGAGGCCTGAGCAAGCTCTCCTTCTTCCTGGAGTAACACAAACCACTTAGCAACCAATTATGGTGGCCTCAACCCCTTCTGCCTGGGACACACTCCGGGGCAGGCAGGGCCTATCCAGCATGCAACTACGATGCTGTGGGGCAGGAAGATGGGAGAAGAGAAGACACACTGAGCTTGAGAGGGGGTGGGGAACACAGGAAGGAGCTAGGCTTGCACATCTGTGTAGTGGTCTTTTTAAAACAAAACTCTGCTTGGGGTGTTTAGGCCTCTACCTCCCTTCCACCAACCCCCCAACCTTAAGTAAGAGAGAGAAAAGGTTAGTGGGGAGAGGGGGCCTGGACCCCTTTGCTTCTCCCCGCTAGTTAGAGTCAAGTGGTTCTTTTGGGCTCTATGCCAATCTCCATCAACCGCAGACACAGCCGGCAGGCTCCTCCATGCTGCTGCACCCCAAAACGGTTCTCTACAAACTGTCTGCTCCAGACCACACCGTCTCTGCTCTCTCCAAACTGCTCCACACCACACGTCAACATCAACACACTTGAAAAGCCACTGAGATTCCCCTCCGCCCTGCCCCCGCCTCTGCCACTGACTGTAAAGTAGTATGGTCTCTCTCATTTTAAAGGTGCAGAAACAGGCCCAGCTGGGTCAACGGGTTGTAGAAACAGAGCTGGGACTTGAACTCAGGCAGACCTCTCTCAGGGCCTCTGCAGCCAGTCCCAGCCCCCAACAGGGAGGGCCAGCACCTCCCTCCATCAGAAACACTAGACCATGAGGGCAGTGCACATGGCATTTTTGGCGGGCGAGTGGGCAGAGCATCATCCTTGCAAACCTGTGCCTGTGTAACCCTACAATTAAACCCGACCGAGTGGAACCTGTACATTTGTCTCCCAGCTGGAAGCGGGGGAACAGCCTTTGGCCATGACTAAGGTGACCCGACACAGCACTTCTGTCTTCTGGCCTCCTGAGGGAAACTGACCATCACAGCCCTTCATAGTCATTTGATTTTCAAGTTAATTTTTTATTTTGTGTGTGTGGGTGTTTCACCTGTGTGGATGTCTGTGCATCGCTGGTGAGCCTGGTGCCTGCGGAGGCCAGAGGTGGACTTCAGACCCCGAGTCTGTGGCTACGCGTGGCTGTGAGCTGCCACGAGGTTCCTGGAAGAGCAGCCTCCGCCCCTAATGTTGAGGCATCTCTCCAGCCCCACCGATATGTTCTTTCCTGCTTCACACACCCCCCTTTCTCCCTGACCCATGAGCTGTCAGGGCCCAGTACTACTGCGGCCTACTGAGGAACAGCAAGCCAGGATGGTGGCACTATTGGGCTGGGGAAGCATTTTGGAAGTGCAGAGACAGTGAGGCTGGGAGCTGTGGGGGTGGAAGCTGGGAGAAGGTAGAGGTGGCGAGGCTGGGAGAGCCTGGGCAAGAGCTCAAATGCAGGGAACATTCTAGAACCGGGGGCAGGCTAGCTGGAGGGGCCGCCTGGCAGCCGGCGCAGAGCCTCGGCAGAGGGGAGGCAGCCTGTGCACGCTCCAGGGCTTGTCTGTGTGAGTGAAGCTTCATGTGGGGCCTGGTGGGGTGGCCATCTCCTCAGGCAGAGAAGACCTGACCTGCAGCTCTCTCCAGTGGCTCCGGCTCTGCAGGAGGCTCCACAGTCCAGACTACTGGGCCCACTAGCTCATGCTTTACTACAGAGCTCTGATTCTGGACAGGGATTAGGGCAGCAGCATGACAGGGGAAGCAAGTTCTAGTTCCAAAGGGTAAAATCTAACAGGGCCAAGCCACACAAGTCCACCCATCCTTCTTTTCCATCTGAAGAGATGGGTGTGTGGTCCAGTTCTGACTGTGGTATGGGGCTGCTTCTGGGATTTCCCCCACTATTTAAATGAGAGACAGAGAGGATGAGAAAGAGAGAAGGAAAGAGGGGAGGTTGCTGTCTCTGCTGCATGTCAAAGCTGTCTTGGCTAAAGTAACTCCTCCAGAGTTTTGGGAGCCATCTTGTAACAGTGAGGCTAAAAGGAAAGAGGGAGAGAAAGAAGTAAGGAAGGAGGAGGGAGGTAAGGAAGGAAGGAAAGAGGGAAGGAAGGAGGGAAGGAAGGAAAGAAGGAAAGAAGAAAGGAAGGAAGGAAGGAAGGAAGGAAGAAAGGAAGGAAGGAAAGAAGAAAGGAAGGAAGGAAAAGCAGGAAGGGAAGAAAGGAAGGAAGGAAGGAAGGAAGGTAGGAAGGAAGGAAGGAAGGAAAGAGGGAAGGAGGGAAGGCAGGAGGGAAGGCAGGAAGGAAGGATGGAAGGAAGGAGGGAAGGCGGGAAGGGAAGAGGGAAGGAGGGAAGGCAGGAGGGAAGGCAGGAAGGAAGGAGGGAAGGAAGGAGGGAAGGCGGGAAGGGAAGAGGGAAGGCGGGAAGGCAGGAGCTCCCTGATGAGGCATGCATACACTGCTGAGAGGTTGGAGGAACAGCCAAAAGGCAGAAAGGGGTCTGGGAGCTAGTGCGTCCCCAGCCTATGGACCACAGGTCCAGCATGGCTGACTCTCACTGGTCTCACAGCGCCTCCTGGAGAAGCCTTTCTCATCATCATCCAGTCAGACATCTTGCCTCACTCCCCACATTCCCTCATTCACCCTTTCACTAGCTGTCCTTACTCACTGCCTCCACCTTCCCCTTGTCCCTAACCCTGGAATCGTGGCCTTTGAGAGTTAATCACATGTGCCTGCACTCTCCCAGAACCAACTTTCAAGGGCCAGATTCTAAAAGCTGTACTTTGAGGCACTGAGTGTTTAGGTGTTGGCAAAGGATCTCCACAGCTCAGGGGTGTGGTCAAAATGTCCCTTTTCCCTTTCCTGCTGACCGAAAGAAAAAGGGCCCTGTGGCCTGTCCTGTGGCCTGTCCTGTGGCCTGTCCCATGGCTCCGCTGTGAGGACTGTGCTCTGTACTGTACCAGGAGGACTGTACCGGGCGCGACAAAGCCTTCTGCGAGGGGTCCTTGGCAGACCCCACCCCCTTTGTTTCGCCCGTTTCGGTGACTCTTCTCCACACAGTCTGACCCCAGGCTGGAGAAACAGCACAGAAGCAGACAGTTTATACAGACTTTATTTGTCCCCAAAGAGGTAAGCGCACACAAGTGTGGGCAGGCAGAGGGCTAAGAGATACACTGCCACAGTTACCTGCCGGGTCACAGACAGACCAGAAGAGGGCCTGGGTTCTGCCATCCACTGCTGTGGGCCAATCACAATGACACATTTTATTCCCACTTCTATTTAGGCATGGAGTGTAGACAGGATACATTTCTTGCACTAAAAATATAGACTTTGGAATCTCTAAAACAAAAATATCTGTCTCTACATGAGACCTACCAGAGAGAAGAACATAGAAAATGAGGGAAAGCGCCAGCCCTCAAGCTGCCCCTTCCGTGGGAAGGTCTGCTCTGCTGTCCACGCAAGACCACCAGCTGCTTCTAACCAATCGACAGAGACCAGAGACGGGAGGCTTGTCCTCTTGGAGGAGTGGACAGGCACAGGAACGATTTTGGCTTCTTCCACAAAAGGAGTAATTGTACATTCGGGTTGGCAGGTCCAGTGCCAACACTGTTTCACAAGTGAAACCCTGCATGTTGAAGCTGCCTGTGAGTCTGCTGACGGATGCCCAGGCCAGCCGACCGCCGCCCGCTGCTGCTGCTGCTGCTGCTGGGCTTTGGAAAGGGCTGCGGGTGGGAGGGAGGGGCTTCTTTCTCTCTCTCAGGAAACACCAGCTGGGAAAAGCCGCTCCGTGCTGAAAGTGGGTTAGATAGGGGGGGGGGGGGGGGGAGGGGTGCTATTCCTCTTCTCTTCAGAAGGACCAGAAGCTGTTCTATTCCTATGGAGCACAGGACCTCCTAAGGAGGTCTGCCGGTAGAGGACTCACTCCTGAACGCCACTGGAAAGACTCCACTCCTCTTGCACACGACCACAGCGATAAGTGACTTCACACCTCCCTTGCTTGTAAAAATTATCCTCCCTTCTGGCCACACACACACATGGTAACGTCAGAAAAAAAGGTAACTGAGTCAGACATCCATTCTCTATAATTAATGCCAGGTGGGGGTGCCTGCTTGGGACCCCAGCACTTGGAAGACGGGAGAACTGCTGCAAGCTCAAGGACCAGCCTGATCTGCACAGTGAGACCCTGTCCCACAGAGCAAGAGAGTTGGAGAATCACTTATAGCTCTAGCAGAAAATTGGCTTCTGTTTGGCTTTTGGGTGAGTTTTCCTGTTTGCAGTGAACGCAGCTCAATACGGATGAACACGGGAGCTTAAGGATGCTTAGCTCCTCTTCAGCTTGTCCCGTCAGAACATCGCCATCTGGCCCCTTTTCTGAGAGCACCAGAGCAGCTGAACCCTCGGTACTCACATCAGCTGCGGGCGTCGTTACGGTTCTCTCCTGAGGGGAGCTTAACCAGTGAGGGGAAGAGCTGAAGCAGAGGCAGGAAAGGTGCTGGAAACGCTGAGGCAGGACAGGCAGGAGCATGGCTGAGGCCTCAGCCAGCCAGCCAGGGCTGGCTCAAGGGTTTCTAACAAAAGTAAGTTGGACAGCGGAGAACACAGCGCAGGGCCTGGGAGCGTCTGCCGGAAACCTGATGAGTATGAGAGAAATGGGGACAAACTGGCCGACCCCACAGCTTAAGGCCCGGGGAGCTGGGGAGGCGGCTCAACAGTGAAGAAGTTCAAGTCCTGGCACCCACACGGAGGCTCCCAGCCACCCAGCTGCAGTTCAGGGGCTCCAGTCCCTCCTGACCTCTTCAGGGGCTGGGGACACACGGTGCAAAGACACACAGGCAGGCAAAACGCACACACGGAGACAAGTGAGTTAAAGTAAAATCAAAAGTCCTAGGAGCAGGTACTGCTGCTTTTGCAAACCATCTTCAGAGATGACGGTGAAGTGGCAGGAAGACAGTGTCCACGAAGCTCATTAAAAACTAAAGAGACCACAAACCCAGGAGAGCCAGGACCGAGCCAGCTCCTGAGCTTCAGAACACAACGCTGCCACCACTAGACAGGGTACAAGGGGAATTGCTGCTTCCCTGACCAACAAGGACGTCTGGATTGCTGAGCAGGTGGATGATAAGGGGAATTAGCAGCTATCCTTTTTTGGATGAGCATAGAGCACAGACTCTCTAGAGCGAAGACAGAAAGAAACCCAAACCTTGGGGCAGGCTGGTGACTTAGTGGACACCAGATTTTTATCCAACATTTGTGAGTAATTTAATAGTTTGCTCCACCACCAACCATGAGAAATCACGACTATTCACATTGTCCTTTGGAGAGATGATGGTTCACTTTCCCTCATCATGAAGGCAGGGTTTCAGGATCGAGGAGACTCAGGAAAGGGCTGTGAGTGGGACAACCCCAAGCCTCCTGACAAAGCTTTCCAAGTTACACGTATGTTACGCAACCAAACACATCTGGCAATTGTACAGTACCTCTCTGTAGGTCTCTGCCTTTCTCTAGACAAGCCTTCCCTGACAGACACTAGGAAGCGGCCCTGCCACTTAGGAATCCTCCATCTTTTCCCTTAGAGCCGAGGCTTCACCCACCAAACATGTTCTTGGAGCGCAGCCCCCTCCCCCACTACTGTGCTCACATCAGCAGCTGACATCCCTGGCACGTCCCTGGCACGTCAGGACAACACCGGCAACACTCAAGATGTCTGAAAGCTGCCCTTGTCGTAGAAGAGGCGACTGCTTCTCCGCTTCCCGCCGCTGTGGGCATGAAGCCCACAGCTGCACTGCTCAGAGCTGGGGCGGGCAGGCCTCCACCCTCTGGCCCTGCGCACTCGGGAAGAGCCATTTTTCTCAGCGACGAGTCACCAGCTTCCTTGCACGACAGCTGTTACACGCCTTTCAGGAGTACTGAGGCCAGGCCGGGGGTGAAGCAGTCACTGATTCTTCTACACAAAAGGTGGCAGGAAGGTACAGGAGGAACAAGATGGGGCAAGAAAAGAGTGTATTCCCGGAGGATGAAAGCAATGAGAAGGATGAAGTTCAAGAAGGATTCTGGAGGGGCCGGAAGTTATCAAAACAAACAAACAAGAACAACAAAAACCCTCTGCCTCTAAACCACTCCAGGGTGGGCAAGGGGCTTCGATGATTAGATCCATCCTCAGTGTTGTGCCCTGGAGCCTTGGTTCTTGGAGACTTTGGTGCCCACTAATTTCTAAGAAACATGCCTGCTCCAGATGGCTACCTGAGAGCAGGCCAGAGCTGCTGCTGAGATGGAGCTCTCTCGTGAGAAGAGCTCAAACCAGGAGCAACGCCCATGTTTCAGAGACGCTCAGTTTAGGCTCTGAAGGCAGGGTGGCGTTCCCCCAACGGGCACCGAGCAGCGGTGCCCACCACTGCCTCATAACAGACGCCCGTTCTGGGGGGCTTGTGTCTGTCCTGTACAATTGTCCAACATCTTGAAAATCATCTGTGCATCAAAACGTGGTGCTAACGGGTCGGGGGCGAGGGGCCTGCAGCGCAGGTCCCTTCAACCCCAGATGCCTCGGGGGTGCTCACACTGAGGGAAGCCGACGGCGACAGAAGACGCAGCGCTTCCTCACCTGGGGAAAGAAAGTACTCGGTGTGTGTGGTCTCGGCACAACCTGTCCCAGCTGGGGAGCTGGCGTGACAGCTCGCCAGGCACATTCTGTGCACAAAGGGAGCGGAGGTCTGCTAAGAGCCGGGGTCCGAGCCCTTGGTGACGGTTCTGGAGCAGAGCAGAAAATCACACACATACTTTTAAACTAAGCAGCCAAACCCACTCCACCACCTACAGGCCCTTTCTCACTGTGGCCTTCACATCAGAGCCCCAGAACTCGTGTCAAGCGAAAGGAACCCATGATGAGGAAGCCACGCAGCCGAGGGCAGTTTTGGTCCCTGGTGGTGATGAAGGTGTTCACTAAGGCAGCTAAAGAGATGTCCGTGAGCACTTGGGTCTGTCCAGAGTGGAGGAACAGCCCAGCCGTGAGATGGCAGCAGGGCGGCGGCAACAGCAGCCCAGGTCCACTTCTCCCCTCGAACAACTGTTGCTGAATCAGCCAGAGAGCTGCACAGCAGGCCTGGTCACAAAGCTTCGCGCCTGGTAGTCTCTCCTGGCAGCTAAGCCAATCCTTTCCATAGCATTTAGGCTCCTCTTTCTCTGCTCCCAAGGAACCCAGGAGAAGACGCTCATCCTCCACTGTCGCTGGCTTGCCCTGGGCCTTTCCGTCCATCAGCTGAACTCTCGCTCCCGCACACAGCCTGCACTTCCAAGGGTCTCGGGACGCGGTGCTGACTGCTTCCGAGAGAGACACGGATGGCACCAGGCTGAGACACCTGGCAGCTGCTGTGGCGGCCACTGCGACACCCAGATGGCTGAGCTCGGGTAGCAGACGTGCTGTGTGTCGGTCTGTCCACCATCCTCTTCCCAAGCAGAATATGGCGCCGAGGCCCAGGCAGCTCAGGAGCCTGCAGCTAACAACAGGCCCCGAGCCATCCCTTCTCCTGCTTCTCTGCCATCATCCTGCGCCATCGTTCAGGAAGAGGGAATGATGATGGAATCCTCAGTGACAGAATGGACCCCCATGGCTTACCAGGCCAGCAGAGAGCATCAGAGAAAATGTCTGACAAATGGGAAGCTGGCTCCTTAATGGTGGCAGTTCTGAAGAGAAAGGAGAAAGGAAGCAACAGGCAGAGGTCCGGTGGGGAGCCCGCTGGGCTTGGCTGCTGGTACGTGGATAGCGGACGTCCTCCAAGATGCACAGCGAGAGTGACCAGATGCTTCTGTGCGGCATGGCTTTGAGATGACCAAGACAGGTCCAGACTGAGCCCGGCTTCTTCCCGGACAGTCACCATCTCTTGAAAACCAGAACTTCTCTGAGGCACCTCACGGCCCACATCTTCCACCCCACAGAGACTCAGTTGAAGAGGCTGCACGACATTGTCACAGTGAGACACAGGGCGCAGGGCTCGCCTGCCCTCACAACGCTCTGGAGACGCCGCCTCAGCCCGCTGGCTGCACTGAAGTTCACTGACAAGCAGACTAGTTCTCAGCTAAAAATAACTACACGTGTTACACACTTGCGCAGCTGCCTGCATTCTCCCTGAGAGCAGCAGCGTGGTCAGCGCGGTCAGCACACATCATTTTGACCCATGCGGTGAGGAAGCCACCGCACACCCGAGGCGGGGGCTCCACCAAGCTCTGAGGTTGCTCCGCACCAGCCTCACTGAGCCTCATCCTGCCACTGAGCCGAAAGCCAGATGTGGCGGCACCACCTTATGTGTGGAGATAGGAGCGGGACCTGCTTTCCTGGGTCTGGCCAGCTTGTTTTCTTGATTTTTGCCTTCATTTACCTGATGTAAGTGATGTCTGGGCTAAAACCAGCAACTGATCCACTACGGTTCCTGAATTCAGGTAAAGACGCCTCTGGTTTTCTTTAACAATCTGATCAAAGCTCATCTACGCTATTAGTAAATTACACAGGGAAATCTCAAACTGTTGTTTAACAAAATTCTCATTTCAGAACCTAAGTAGGTTAAAGCCTGGGCCAATACTACACCATATTTATCAGGGTTAACAATACTGATCCACGAGTTTAGCAGCTCTCCAGTCTGTGTGGCGGCCGTAACCAGAGACAACCTTCAGATTCTGAAGTGAGAAACGTTCTCCAAGTGGGATTAAAGGAATTAAACAGAAAAGGCAAGTTTATATCCCAAAGTAATGAGAGCCCACCCCTGGGGCCGGGCACAGGGATAGCTCAGAGCAAATACTTGGAAACTTTTCCTTTTTATTTGTCTCACTGAAAGGTTAGCAACAGTTCTGTTATTTACCAGACAGATTCAAGCCTACAAAAGTAACAGACATTTTACTTTCAACATTATTGCCATTTTTAAAAGACAGTAGTAAATAAAAATGGGAAGTTAGAGTTCTCTTTACCTTTTTTCCTTTGTATTTCCAGAATTTATACTGAGAGCCTTCCAGACCGTGGTTTTGGGCATTTCGTCTGATATATTAATTTCAGAAGGGTCACACCTGAAATCAAAGCTTAGGCAGTGAATACCAAACACATAAGTGAAGGGCACAGCCCTGGTTGCTGCGACCCCCTCTCACCAGAATGGAGAGCAGCTTGAGGACAGAGCCTGCCATTGTGTGTGCAGCCAGGGCAGGCCTGGCCTGAGAGGTGAGGTGGCCTGTGAGCAAGCTGGCCCAGGTGGGTGGCCAGTGCTTGGCAAGAGCTTACGAGGATGCTGCTGTGAGGCAGGCACTCTTGTTCACTCTCACTTACACAACCAAATCTCCTCCATTTATAGTTTACAAAAGACTTCCATGCTCTTTTGCTTAACAATCATAGCAAAGGAGATTGATGGCAATGCTCATTTTGAAGGTGTAAAACCCAAAAGTTCTCAGGGCTGAGCGAGCACCCACCAAAAGTCAAACCACAGCAAAGAGTCAAGACCCCAAACACAGTCATTGGTCCTCGGAAACCTCTGAAGCCATCTATGGGCCAGATGCTTTCCTGCAATACGGAGAGACAAGACAGCATCCTCTGGGAAAGGAGCCCTGATCCTGCTTCTCTGCCAGTGACATCGAAGCTTCCCGAACAGTGACAGACTCCTTCTTAGGGAGCACAGAGATTTCCTCATCTGTGCACATATGAGCCACATCCAGCGTCATGACTCATCTGCCAGCCTTCCTGCTTTCTCTAGCCCTCCTCACCTCTAGGTCTTTCCAGCCTTCGTGTGCTGCTTCCTGATGGAGGTCAGGCGTGAGCCCACACACAAGGACTCAGGAATGTGCGCTCCATGGTAGAGAAAGTAGCTAAGGCACCAGCACAAGGCTCGTCTGGGCCTCCAGATCAGCAGCCCCTCAGCTCCCTGAACTGAAAATGCTGTAACCCACAGGGGTGTGCACTGCCTCTCCCGCCCCCAGAGGGGGCACTCGTGAGCACTCGTGCCCACCAGGCCAAGAAAACCCTGGAAAAGATCATACCCTCTTGACCTTACGAAAGTGGAAAAGGACAGCACGGGGCTGAGAGGTAGGACGATCCTCCTGACCTTGTAGTACTGACCCTCACTCGTGGGGGTCAGGATGGGGGGGCACAAGCAAACCCTGCCCTACACTCAGACATGGGACAGGGCACTGGGGACACTGGCTCCCGGCCTCACAGAGCCGGGCACAGACAGGCGTCCACTACAGTGGAATGGAAAGCTGTCCCCACGGGGCAGGGCCAACAGATGGCCCTCAGGGCAGAGGGTCACAGTGACCCTGGCAGTGAGCTCTTTGGGACTAGGGGGTGTTACCTGAGGCTGCTGCTCTTCCCAGGGCTACTAAGCAACTTCCTGCTTTCTAGGGGGAACTTATCACCCGCGATGTCCAGCATCTTCTCAGCCTCCTGGAAGGAAAGGGGACATCATTATTGCCCACTCCTAAGGAAGCTCTGGCCCCCAGACTCCAGAAGGCCTGGGTCCAGAAACGGGTCTTGGCTCAGCTCAAGCTGGACTGAACAAGGACTGCTGAAAGCCCAGAGCCACCAGCATCCCTCCCAGGAACCGGCGAAACGGGCGCCTGCCTGCCAGAGAGGACCTCTGCCAGTGGGTATCCCTGAGGTTGCTGCTCCCGGCTGCCATTCACAGGTGCCTCGCTCTGTGACAGCAAGGCTTCCCTGCTTCCGCCCTGCTCGCTTCCCTCGCAGATGGCCCTGGCTATGCCCAGGGTGCCTCCTTTTCCTCTCAGAGGCCTCTGCATGTCCCAGCTCTCTTACCTACAACAGAACTTTCCCTTAACCACAGAGAAGCCATTTTGGTGGTTTCTTTACTGCCCTGTAGCTCACAATAATATCTTGGACCAAGTAAATTGAGTCTCTCCCAGCCCATTTTCTACCACCACAGACACCTGTATGGTTTTCACTCATACTCACTCACTCAAACACACACCCAGGTCCTTCCACAGGTTTGACTCCTCAAAGAGGGAGGCAACCAACATTAGTGCAAAACAGCCCTGAAACAGTGGTAACCTAGTGTGAGGAAGCCTGAGAGAACCAGGGATCTAGGACAGAAGAGCACGTCAGCAGTGCCAAAGACGACAAACAGCAAGGGCCACCTGACGAGAAAAACGCCCTGTGGCCAAAGACCCAGTTTCCTCTCAGAAAGTAAAAGGACTACAAGAGGAAATCAGCCAATTCTGAGGTGCGGCCTTTTGTTATACTGATTCAGATGAACAGGCTGTTAAAATAGTAACAACTACACGGGAAGGTTGCATGCGGCACAAGTGTGAGGCGCTCAGGTAGGAGTACCAGGATCCAGAGGAAAGCCAAGCATGGCGCATTCCTGTGATCCCGGGCTCGGGAGGCAAAGGCAGCAGGCTCCCTGGAGCTTGCTGCACGCTGAGCTAGGCCAAGCAGTGAGCTTCAGGCGTCAACCTCTGGCCTCCATTCGCAGACAGACAGACAGACACACACACACACACACATTCAGACACGCACACCAACAATAGGGAAATTAGGAAACGAGTTTTCTTATTTTTACATGTACTTAAAATGTTCCATATTAATTTTTTTTTTTTTTTTTTTTTTTTGTATTTTTGAGGCAGGGTTTCTCTGAGTAGCCTTGGCTGTCCTGGACTCTCTTTGTAGACCAGGCTGGCCTCAAACTCACAGAGATCCACCTGCCTCCGCCTCCTGAGAGCTGGGATTACGTGTGAGACCACGCCTGACTTACAATATTTTCTTTAAAATAATGCCAACACAGAAAGATTGGAAGTTGAGGCTAGCCTAGACTACATAGTGAGATCTTATCTTACTAATAAAATAAACAAATAAATAAATGACTCCTTTAAAATGCCATTCACTTAAAGAAGTAATTACAGAGGAAAAAACTTACATAGAAGCATGTTATAAGTATAATAAAAATAATTAAACCTAAAAGAACATTTTAATAAAAGAAGAAAGTTTAAAATTTAATAATTCAATATATAATACTATAGGATAGTTTGTATTCATTAAGATAATATCATTAGAGACACAAAAACCGTATAGCGCTGAAGAAAAATCAGAATACACACACACACACACACACACACACACACACACCGCTTATTACATACACAACACGTGTAGCTGCGACATCTGCATGACGCCATTGGGAAATGAGTAATAAGTGAGCACTAAATGATACACTAAACATCTGAGACACACAGAGCCGGTCACCACTCCTAGTCTGTTTCACTCTGCTCTTCTGACTTGATGTCATGTCCAAAGGAGACTCCATCACCCAAACTTCCAAAAGGCAGAGGACAAATGGCTTTCTGTCACGCCTATTAGCTCATGCTCTCTCTTCCTTTCTCTGTGTGTCTCTCTGTCTCCCTGTGTGTGTCTCTCTCTCCTGGACTCTTCCAGATGCCTCTGGCTGTTCTCTCTCACATCTACAATAAAAACCTTCCCGTCAGCCATACCATGGAGCGGTCATGTGAGCAGTTTATACAACTTATGTGCAATTTTTTAGTAAATTGGTATTTTTACTATAGATTCCATTTTGTATTCAATTCTACACATAAATGTCTCATAAACATGTTCATATCGTTAACTACTCCTTTGATTTTTATTTTTAAATTATTGTACGATATTCAATCATAATTTCTTTTTCTTGCTAATAATTGTATTGATTTAAAACATTTACTCCTTTATCTATTTTTTATTTGTGTGGGAGGCTCGGAGCATGACCTCGTGCATGTGGAAGTCAGAGGACGACCCTTGGAGTAGGTTCTTTCCTCCAGCACGTGGGTCCCCAGGACTGCGGAGGCTTGGCAGGAAGTGCCTTTCCCTGCCCGGCCGCCTCACAGCCTCCTGATGTCACAGACACCGGAATGGGGTATTTTTGTCTGCATTGCTTGAAAGCTCAGGACATGTTTTAAAGGTCAGAGTTGAGGGTCAAAGGGCATAAACATGTTTTCCATCTGAGACAGTCTGGTGTTGAATTCCCAGGGTTCAAGGTGACCTCCTGCCTCAGTTTCCCGAGCGCTCGCACGGAGGTGGGGGCTGCATGAACCTAGACACACCATGAGGTTGCCTCATGCGCAGCCATGTGGGTGCTGGAAGCACACCCGCATCCGGGTCCTCTGGAGGAGCAGCCTGCGCCTGGACCCTGAGCCTCTCTCCAGCCCTGGCATGTACACTAAGACTCTCAGCGTTCTCTAACGCGATGCCGCCAACTCACCAGCACCTCAGCCTGTGTGTGGCCTGTTCCAACTACAGTGCTAGAAGGTTTAGTTCTTACCAATTTAAATCTTGTTGTCAATTTGATAAGTGAAAAAAAAGTCTCAGCCAGGGATGGCGGCAGTGCAGGCAGGGGGAACACAATTGTTTCCCACTGCTTTTGTATTTAAAAATTTTAGGTTAAAAAACTTATACTGTTAAATAAATTCAAGACTATATGCATTTTGAAATAGAGTTGAAAAGAAGACAGTTTCTGCTGAGTGACAGGGTCCCTTCCAAGGCAGAGCTGACTGAAGAAAGATAGATAGATAGATAGATAGATAGATAGATAGATAGATAGATAGATGGATGACAGGCAGATAGATAGATAGATAGATAGATAGATAGATAGATAGATAGATGGATGACAGGCAGATAGATAGATAGATAGATAGATAGATAGATAGATAGATGACAGACAGATAGATAGATAGATAGATAGATGGATGACAGGCAGATAGATAGATAGATAGATAGATAGATAGATGACAGGCAGATAGATAGATAGATAGATAGATAGATGACAGACAGATAGATAGATAGATAGATAGATAGATAGATAGATAGATAGATGGATGACAGGCAGATAGATAGATAGATAGATAGATAGATGGATGACAGACAGATAGATAGATAGATAGATGGATGACAGGCAGACAGATAGATAGATAGATAGATAGATAGATAGATAGATAGATAGATATTGTTTAAGGGTCTCTATTGCTGCAGCAAAACACCATGACCAAAAAGCAAGTTGGGAGGAAAGGGTTTACTGGCTCACACTTCCGCATTGTAGTCCATCATTAAAGGAAGCCAGGGCAGGAACTGTGACAGGGCAGGGACCCAGAGGCAGGAGCTGAGGCGGAGGCCATGGAGGGGGCTGCTGACTGGCTTGCTCCCCATGGCTTGCTCAGCCTGCTTTCTTACAGAGCCCAGGACACCAACCTAGGGATGGCTCCACCCACCCCCGCTGGTCCTCCCCCACTGATCACTAAGAAAATGCCTTACAGCTGGACCTCATGGAGGCGTTTCCTCAGCTGAGGCTCCTTCCTCTCTGAGGACTCTAGCCCGTGACCAGCTGACACACACTGGTCAGTGCAGACAGACAACCGGAAGGACGTTCTTTGGGGCAGCAACTGCACCGGGACACCCCAGCTCCTTCACTTCCTGCCTGGAGTTTTCATCTCGCCGCAGATCCTTTCGGGCCACGGACCACTGCGGAGCTGGCAAAATGCCAAGTGCCGAGGGTGCTGAAGGACAGAAAGTCCCGTGCAAGCTCTGTTTGCACGGTGCCATCTGTAATTAGGTGCCATAACCAATATTTTCAGAAACAATGGGTTTATGCACTTGACAAATCAGATGGTTTGGAAGAAAAGGAGCCAGTGGAGCTGGGAGTCGCAGCGCGAGCGTCCCTTTTGCAGTGTGAGCCGGGAAGATGACCAGCTACCAACTGCAAACACGAAGGGCAGACTCGGCCAGCGCCCTCACCCCTTCCTCAGCTGAAGACACCTTGGGCCCCTCAGCATGGCCTGCAGGGTTCTCGGCATGCTGCCTGACCCCCACCAGCCCGCCCGCCCCCCCTCTCCCACTTGAGGCCCCAAGCACCAGGCTGGAGTGGCCGAGACGCTACCTCCTCCTCCTTCGCCTCCTTCTCCGCGTCATCCAGCTTCTTCTTCTTGTTCTCGGGCATGAGGTCGTCCAGCCAGCTCAGCTCCCGCTTGGAGAAGCAGAGATCCATGACTTTCCTGACGAAGACCAAGGCCAGGACCTGGCAGGAAGGAAGCCCAGCAGCGGGTGAGTGCCCTCGCAGAAGGAAAAGTGAGACAGTTTCCACAGCAGCCTAGGACGGTCCACGCAAGGCTGGACACGCGACCACCACCACGACAGCCACACACTGCAGCCACGGGCACCCGGCACCAAGGCGTTTCACATTATTTTGTTTATTTTTAAATTTTTGTACATTTAAAAAAATGGTTTATGCACGTGTGTGCCTGTGTGTCTGTGTGCCTGGTACAATGGGCATCAGCGAAGGCCCCAGGTCCCCGGGAGCTGACGTTTATTTAACATAAGTGAACAGAAAACCCACTGTTAAGGACACGCACGACCACATGGACAACAGGGGATAGAGCAGTGTCACACGCTGCCCCTGGAATAACAGCAGCCACAGGGACAGACAGCGGGACTGGGCGGTGACAGCCTTGCAGGGCGTGTGGGGCAGGATGAAGGTCCTTGGTGAGATGCTGATGGCAGCCCCCAGCGTCCCTAATCCCACTGACGCCCTTAAAAAGGGTGAGCACAAGAAGCTCTGCGCCATCCGCATTTTAGCAACTTCAAAGAGCAGCACTTACAATTAAAACTGCCCCACTCACCTGCCAGGCCGCGCGCCTGCGGTCCCAGCGCTTGGGAGGCAGAGGCAGGAGGAGTCTGTGAGTGCGCGGCCAGCTGGGCTACAGGGTGAGTCCAGGACAGCCAGGGCTACACAGAGAGACCCTGTCTGAAGGAAGCAAACCAACCTACCATCATGGGGAAGACGATGGCGGCCGGCGACGCCTTGATGACCCACAGCAGGACGAGGCAGGTGAGCTGGATGAGCGTGAACAGGTGCACTTTCCGCAGCGGCACGTGCCGCAGGTAGATGAAGTCCGGCTGGTGCTTTGCCGGCATTCCGAAGAGCTTCAGGCGATCAAAGAACTGCCAGGAAGAGCCAGCACTGAGTTCCGGTCCCTGGGCCGGCGGCCCCCGAGCTCAGCGTGCAGCCCGGCTCCAGTCTTGAGTACAGCACATGGAGCCTGCGACATGAGAATCTACTGCCGCCGAGTCTGAGACAGCAGACCGTTTGCTTAAGGAGACTCGTGAAGCCACCTTTTCTTTCCTATTTGTTTATTTTATGTGTATGAGTGCTCTACCTGCATGTACACCTGCGTGCCACAAGAGGGCACCAGATCTCACTATAGATGGCTGTGAGCCACCATGTGGGTGCTGGGAATTGAACCCAGAACCTTTGGAAGAGCAGCCAGTGCTCATAACCTCTGAGCCATCGCTCTAGCCTGAAACCGACGTTTCTAATTCCAGGCACAAACTTCCCCTCCTACACCGCAGCCTCCTGGGAGCGTGCTCCCATGGTGTGAGCACAAGCCAAGTCACCCATGTGTTCTGTGTCAAAGCCGCTTCCTCCCAGGTGTGCTGACACATACCAGCAATCCCAGGAAGGCCAGGGAGAAGGGATCGCCCAGAGCTTGAGGTCAGCCTGGGCTACAGGGAGCTCCAAACCACAGCAGACACAGACTGAGGCAGCGTGCCAACCGACACAGCCCCTCACACCCCTAAGTCCCTAAGTCTCCTGCTTGTGCTCACAGACTCTGGAGGACAAGTGCACCGATGAGATCAAATGAGGCCTCCTAAGCCTCTGGGTACAGGAATCACAACACTCGGGGCCACTGAGATGGCTCAGGTGTACAAGGTTGCTGCTGCACAAGCCTGGAGACCTGAGTTCAAGTCCTGGGGTCCACAGATACATGGCAGGAAAGAAAGTTGTCCTTTGACCACAACATGCATGCTACAGCACACGTGTGCCCCCACATGCGTGTGCATACATCATACACACCACACATACACCACCCAAATAGATATATCACATGCATATACACTCACACACACACATCACACACTCGCACACGCTCACACACACAGACACACACATGCTCACACACACACACACATCATACATACACACACACACATCACACACTCGCACACGCTCACACACACAGACACACACAGACACACACATGCTCACACACACAGACACACACATGCTCACACACACA